AAAGCAGGTGAGTGTTGTGCTGATGCCACCAAAGGAGGCGGGTGAAGAGCGATGGAGCTGCCAGCTGAATCAACTGTTAGGAAATCGATAAAGGCAGTCAAGTGCCTTTTGGACTCAGCACTGTGAAGGTCATAGGTAACCCTGACCTCCTAGGCTTCAATGCTGAGGAATGGGCGAACGCCCTGATACCCACCCTCACCATGTCCATGGTAGCTCCCAGGGAAAGGGTGTTCCCGGCTGGGGCGAATCCCTTATTAAACCGAAGTAAGTCAAGGTGAGGGGTAGATTGGGAGAAGCCATGTTTACTGCTCACACCTTGCTCAGATTCACTAGTTAGCCCCGTCTGTGTCCCCCGGCTGCCGCTCGTGCTTTGCTCCCTCCAGCCAAGGCTCCATTCTTCTCCTCTGGCCGCATCTCCCTTTGACTCGGCTCCCGTGCTTCTCCTCCGGCCATGGCTCTGGTCGCGGCTCACGCTCTACTTCCCCACCTGCCCTTTCCAGGCGGAATTCCACGGTGACTGACTGGCACTAGACCAGTTAGGTACCAGGAATGGAGGGGAGGAGAGAATGGCCGTTTTCTCTTCACCCCTTGTCCCAGATCTACAGGAGGCTTGGCAGTGGTAAACACCTATTGTTATGTAAATGAACTGAGGCCAGGTGGGAGATTCTGGAAATTCTGCCATTTACCCCACAACCATCCAGTCTGCCTGACCTCGTGTTTTTGTCACTCTAGAAAGCCCACACTCTAGACTTGCAGACCTGGATTTGCAACCTGCGTCTTCCACTTACTACCCACACGAATTTGGGCAATTTAACAATCCTTTCTAAGTATTAGTTCCCTCTTCTGTAAAATGGGAATAATGGCATCTTATAGCATCATCCTGGATGTTAGATGTCTGTATAAAAGCATCGGGCACTGGAAAACGGGGTACTCAAGAAGTGGTAACTATTGCTTTCAGTATGATTGTCTCTATGTGGCTTGTCCAGTCTGTTCCTCAGAGGCAACCTCCCCTCTTCTCTGTGTAACTGGCACGTCTGCTTGACAAGTCCGGCCACAGAATCACATTGTCTAACAGAGTACCTAACATGAGCTACAAGCTCAATTAAATGTTTATGAAAGTGACAACTGGAGGGAAAATAGTTGCAGTGTATCCATAGACCCCCTCAGAGAATTAAAGCAGAGGGTAAAATGATCAGTTCCTTCCTTCAGACTCTGCAAGGACACCCAGGGCACATACTGTTCCAGAATTACTGGAGGACTGAAAATAGACTCCTTTTCCCATTATTAGAGACCAGAATGCACTTTCTAAAACTTACCCAGGAATTACTCATTGGGCATTTTCTATTTTATCACTATTCTCTCAAGTAGAAATGTCAGTCAGAGGAAATCAGACTTACTGAGATGATTCAAAGCTTTATTGAATATGCTTTACAAGTGGACATTTTGATTGACATATCCAGGTACTCAGGATAAATCAGAAAACCAGAGATTCATTTTAAGACCTAAAGCAATCCTGCTGCTCTTAAAACCTTAAAGAAAAGCCTTGTCTCTTTATCCCAGCACTTCTTACTTTCATTTAGTGACACCTGTTTTAGACACTCTTCGTCAGAAAGAACTAAGATACTGAGGGTTTTTTCCCAGCTCCTCCTATTACCAAGCTCCATCTTAACCACCACAAACGGATCAGTGGAAAGAACATTGGACTTAATGCCAGAAAATCTGTTCAAATCAAGACAGTAACACTTTGATTACACACTTTATGTTTTAAATGTGTGTTTAATGCCTCTAGCCTTAGTTTCCTCATCTGCAAAAGGATAACAACACCTTACCAGATTGTTTTGCAAACTAAAAGACAAAATATGGGGATGTAATTTACAAATTATAAAGCACCATAAAAATGGAAAGTAGCACAAATAATTTCCCTCATGTGGAGTATAACAACAAAGCAAAATTGAAGGAACAAAACAGCAACAGACTCACAGACTCCAAGAAGGGACTAGTGGTTCCCAAAGGGAAAGAGGATGGGGAAGGGGGTGGGAGAAGGGGATTAAGGGGTATTATGATTAGCACAAAAAATGATAGTTATGAACAACTTTGGATAAAGAAGGATGGACATTTTACCTGAGGCCTAGAAGATAAAAAAGAACTACCATGCAAAGACTGAAAGAGTAAAACTCCAGTAGAGGGGACCACAAAAGCCAGGGCCTGGAGGAGGCAATGTTCTCAGCGTTCTTGAAGAACAGAGCCAGTGTGGGAGGGGCTGAGTCTGCATGATGGGCGGGTGAAAGCAATGGGCACAAACAGACACTGCTGGTTCACGCAGGGCCCTCTAAGTGACGGTAACAGTTGGGTCTTATCAGAACTGCAACAGAAATCACTGGAGGATTCTAAGCAGGGAAAGGGCCTGATCTGATTTACATTTTTTCGAGATCCCTTTGTGGAGAAAAAATTGTTGGGAAGCAAGTATGGAAGCACGGTGGTTGTTTGAACCAGGCAGTGGACGCAAAGGGCTGTGAATGGACTTGGTATTTATTTTGGTGGGAAAGCCAACTAGACTTATTAACAGATCGGATGTGGCACAGATCGAGGGGAAGGATGGGAAAAAAGAAACAAGGCTGATAACTTTGGGGTATTTAGATGGATGAGTGAACATCCATAGGTGGAAGCTAAATTTTAAAACATGGGGGTCATCCACCTGTTTGTGTTGATATTAGTCATGGTATTTGAAGAAATCATTTAGGGAGAAGGGGGGAAAAAGTGAATAGCTTGAGGATTAAGTGAAGGGCACTCAATGGTTGGAGGTTGAACAGAGAAGGAACTGGCATAGGATGCTATGGGAAGCAACCCGTGGAGAAGAAAAGCAGGTGAGTGTTGTGCTGATGCCACCAAAGGAGGCGGGTGAAGAGCGATGGAGCTGCCAGCTGAATCAACTGTTAGGAAATCGATAAAGGCAGTCAAGTGCCTTTTGGACTCAGCACTGTGAAGGTCATAGGTAACCCTGACCTCCTAGGCTTCAATGCTGAGGAATGGGCGAACGCCCTGATACCCACCCTCACCATGTCCATGGTAGCTCCCAGGGAAAGGGTGTTCCCGGCTGGGGCGAATCCCTTATTAAACCGAAGTAAGTCAAGGTGAGGGGTAGATTGGGAGAAGCCATGTTTACTGCTCACACCTTGCTCAGATTCACTAGTTAGCCCCGTCTGTGTCCCCCGGCTGCCGCTCGTGCTTTGCTCCCTCCAGCCAAGGCTCCATTCTTCTCCTCTGGCCGCATCTCCCTTTGACTCGGCTCCCGTGCTTCTCCTCCGGCCATGGCTCTGGTCGCGGCTCACGCTCTACTTCCCCACCTGCCCTTTCCAGGCGGAATTCCACGGTGACTGACTGGCACTAGACCAGTTAGGTACCAGGAATGGAGGGGAGGAGAGAATGGCCGTTTTCTCTTCACCCCTTGTCCCAGATCTACAGGAGGCTTGGCAGTGGTAAACACCTATTGTTATGTAAATGAACTGAGGCCAGGTGGGAGATTCTGGAAATTCTGCCATTTACCCCACAACCATCCAGTCTGCCTGACCTCGTGTTTTTGTCACTCTAGAAAGCCCACACTCTAGACTTGCAGACCTGGATTTGCAACCTGCGTCTTCCACTTACTACCCACACGAATTTGGGCAATTTAACAATCCTTTCTAAGTATTAGTTCCCTCTTCTGTAAAATGGGAATAATGGCATCTTATAGCATCATCCTGGATGTTAGATGTCTGTATAAAAGCATCGGGCACTGGAAAACGGGGTACTCAAGAAGTGGTAACTATTGCTTTCAGTATGATTGTCTCTATGTGGCTTGTCCAGTCTGTTCCTCAGAGGCAACCTCCCCTCTTCTCTGTGTAACTGGCACGTCTGCTTGACAAGCCCGGCCACAGAATCACATTGTCTAACAGAGTACCTAACATGAGCTACAAGCTCAATTAAATGTTTATGAAAGTGACAACTGGAGGGAAAATAGTTGCAGTGTATCCATAGACCCCCTCAGAGAATTAAAGCAGAGGGTAAAATGATCAGTTCCTTCCTTCAGACTCTGCAAGGACACCCAGGGCACATACTGTTCCAGAATTACTGGAGGACTGAAAATAGACTCCTTTTCCCATTATTAGAGACCAGAATGCACTTTCTAAAACTTACCCAGGAATTACTCATTGGGCATTTTCTATTTTATCACTATTCTCTCAAGTAGAAATGTCAGTCAGAGGAAATCAGACTTACTGAGATGATTCAAAGCTTTATTGAATATGCTTTACAAGTGGACATTTTGATTGACATATCCAGGTACTCAGGATAAATCAGAAAACCAGAGATTCATTTTAAGACCTAAAGCAATCCTGCTGCTCTTAAAACCTTAAAGAAAAGCCTTGTCTCTTTATCCCAGCACTTCTTACTTTCATTTAGTGACACCTGTTTTAGACACTCTTCGTCAGAAAGAACTAAGATACTGAGGGTTTTTTCCCAGCTCCTCCTATTACCAAGCTCCATCTTAACCACCACAAACGGATCAGTGGAAAGAACATTGGACTTAATGCCAGAAAATCTGTTCAAATCAAGACAGTAACACTTTGATTACACACTTTATGTTTTAAATGTGTGTTTAATGCCTCTAGCCTTAGTTTCCTCATCTGCAAAAGGATAACAACACCTTACCAGATTGTTTTGCAAACTAAAAGATAAAATATGGGGATGTAATTTACAAATTATAAAGCACCATAAAAATGGAAAGTAGCACAAATAATTTCCCTCATGTGGAGTATAACAACAAAGCAAAATTGAAGGAACAAAACAGCAACAGACTCACAGACTCCAAGAAGGGACTAGTGGTTCCCAAAGGGAAAGAGGATGGGGAAGGGGGTGGGAGAAGGGGATTAAGGGGTATTATGATTAGCACACATAATGCAGGGGTGTCATGGGGAAGGCAATATAGCACAGTGAAGACAAGTAGTGACTCTATAGCATCTTACTCTGCTGATAGACAGTGACTGCAATAGGGTGTGTCGGGGGAACTTGATATGGGGGAATGTAGTAACCACAATGTTGCTCATGTGAAACCTTCATAAGATTATGTATCAATGATGCCTTAATAAAAAAACAGAAAGGTAGCATTACTACTCATATATGAAGACAGCTCATTCATTTTTCAATGAATATTTATTGAGCATTACCATATAGCAGACATTTTGCTGGGCAGTAATGACACAAATAAAAAAAATATGTATCATTGGCCCTAAGGAGCTTAGATTCGAGTGGGGGAGAAGCATGTGCCCATGTGGCTACAGGTGCTAGGGAGCCAGAATGAGCCTGCAGACTGGAGTCTGGAGAGGGAGTATGTTCAGAGGGCTTCCTGAGAAGGTTGACACTGGAATTGTCTTACTATTGTCTTACTACAGATTCAAAAGCAAGAAAACAAATCTGAGTCACTCCTCTGTGAGGTACTGCACACATTCCATTGTCCTGGGCCCCAAGCTACTTCAGAAGTGGCCCAGTCCCTAAGGCAGAGTGTCTCAACCTCAGTACCACTGACATTTTAGTCTGGATAACTGTGCTGTGGGGAGCTATCCTGAGTATGATAGAATATTTGGCAGCATGCCTGACCTCTATCATCTAGACTTCAGTGACATCCCCATTAAGTATTACTGTCTTAAGGTCATAAAAACCAGTGCAGGGGGTTCTAGGTGAAATTCATGCAATCAGTGCAAAGCTTATACTACGTGCTCAATGAATGAATGAATAGTGGATGAATGAATGATGCAAACAAATGAATGAGCTGCCTGAAGCCCCTTTGACATATGCCTTTGGGTCTCATCCATAAGAGCCCTTGTTAGTAACAAAGTAATAAGGTGCCCACGTGAGAGGTGACAATGGCACTATATCCATTTATACAGTGCTCTATACAAATTGAATGATTTTGGGCAAGTTGCTCAAACTCTCTGAGTCTCAGGTCCATCAGTTCTTAAATGAGGATAATAAATCCCATCTTGCAAGGTCATTAATAGAATTAAACGAAATAACTGATGTAAAACATACAGCATTAGAAGTGGAGGGATTTGGTGCTATTTAAAAGGAATCCTAGCACAATGGCCCATCTCCTGCCACTAAGCTTTACCTGTGAAAAGCTCTAGGGTACTTTGAGCACATACTTTTTGGTTATAAACACGTGGAGAATGCACAGGAACTGACATATCCACTGTCTAACTCATCTCTCCCCTACAACCAGGTGAGTTAAGAGGCCCAGAGAGTTGTGACTTGCCCAGGATTCCACAGCTAATTAGCACCTCCCTGAGCCCAAACCCTCAGTCAGCACTCAGGACTGGCCAGCCACCTGGCCACAGGCATCTCCATCATCCAAAGGCTTGTTTGCGTAGCGAGTTTTTGGAAAATACTTGCTGTATTCTGTGTTCTGTAGTTTCATATAGACATACATGACCAGATCGGGAAATTTCTTCTGAAAATACTGGGAAGGTTCTCCAATTACTGACTTCATCCTGAGATGAAACATACATATCTCAGTATGCTTGCCCCAAATTTCTCTTCCCCTCCTCATATCATCTGGCCCAGGAGATCTCTTTCTCCCTTAATTTCCATAGCAGAATGAATAAGAGCTTTGGAATCTGACAAAACAAGACTCAACTCTTGACTAATCGTGAGAACTTTAGCAACGTAATTTTTACAAACGTCAGTTTTACCATCTATAAAACGGAGATGATATGGTCCCACAATCCCTAACCGATGATTTCAAAATCCAGTTTGCAGCTAACGTTTTTGACAGCAAAAGCTAATTTAACTAACATAAGGCTACTTTTCAGACTTTCATCACCCTGCATTCCCTTTGCCAGCTGCTCTGTGTCCTGGGCTTCTTCACACAAAAGAGCCACAGCTTTCTTTCTGTTCAAGGGAGCTCAGCAAAAGCCAAGAAGGAACATGAGAGCCTGCTGGGCTTGCCCAGTGTTCATTGTAAGACCCTTGTGATGACAATTTTCCAAACAGAAGGGAGGCATTGCTTTTCTTAGATCAAAATTTTCTTCTTTCCAAAAATTGCAGATATAAACTTGGAATTGGACTCTCTAATCCTCCTTTCATAGATGACTTACAGGAATGAAAACAGTACTTACTTCTTATTCTTTTCTTCATTAATGTGTTCTCCCAAATTCCGGATGAACTTGAGCAGATCACCTACAGTGTCCTGATAGAAATTGCCTTTTTTTTCATAAAACTTGTTCATTTTTCCTAGGACATAGTTGTCGATCTAAACAACAAAACATGCAAAAATGTGGTAGCAACACAAAAAGAATCCTGATGAAATGTTAATACAAAAATGCAAAATACAAATTTGAATATATGCTACTAATTAATGAAGCAAATTAATAAAAAAGAATCAAAGTAAATACTGGATGCCAAAGTCCTAACTGTGGTTGTATGTGGGATTATAAGTAACTTTAAATTCTTGTATCTGTTTTCCAAGTGAACTGTTTTCATAAGAAATTTAAAGATAGAAACATGGTTTAGAATATCTTTGGCTCTACACTAGGAAATTTGCTCATTATACAATACAGTATTTTAATCCTTGTGGCCAACTGTCCAAATTTGTACTGGGTTACATTTCCTGCATGAAGAAGGCTGCCCAGACTGAAGCCAGGCCCAGCAGCTATTGCCAAAGTGAGTGTGGTTGCTTTTGTTTTGTTTGAATTAAGTTTCCAAATGTCACATGATTCTCCTTGCCTCAAGATATCCCAGGGCAACTTCTCTCATATTAATGCCATTCTTTCTGTGCTTGCACCCTTGTAGATGGCTCTCATATTTAGAAAGAATTTGGAGTAAGGGAACAAGATGCAACAGCCATGAAGCCAAAGGTCCCTCAGGAAGAGTATCTGGTGACTAGACCAACACTAGTGAAGCCCTGCTGCGACTGCCCACACAGAGCACTTGGGGAAATGCTGAGCAACGTGTGTGTGCAGGAAGGGGCGGCAGGAGGATACGATGGAAAACTGGGTTCTATATCTGTGCTGCCAAAGACTGATTGTGTGACTACAAACATGGGCAAGTCACTATAATCAGCAGAAAAGCAAAAAGGGAATTAAAAGGTAAGAAATGAAATCGATCCAAATTCAACATAAGTCAGTGAAGTTGAGGGGAAAGAACCAGTGTACTGGAAAACAAAAGAACAGGGCTTTCTTTCCAGCTCTCCTTATCTTGGGCTTCCTGGTCCTAGGTATTTTGGGTTATACCTTGAAGCCTCATTTCCTCAGCAATTAAATGCGATGGTGGGCTTGATGGCACCATAGTTTGTCCAGTCAGCAGCTTTAGCACATGGCCTCTGCAGCCAGACTGCCCAGCTTCAAATACTGCGGCACCCCTCTGAGCCTTTGGAAAAAAAAAAATTACTTTGTGCCTCAGTTTACCCACCTGCATAATGGAGATACCTGCCTCAGAGGTTGTTAAAAACTGTGGTAATTTACATAAAGTCCAGAGAACTCTACCTGCCACGTAGTTAGCCCTACATCATCAGCTATTACTATCATCTGCTCCAGTTTCAAATTTCTGTTTCTACAAGTTTAAGTTTTAGCTGAAGGTTTATAGACATCCATTTAGCAAAGGGTCACAGCACACCTACTCTATGCCAGGAATACAATAATGGACAAGACAATGGACAATCCCTGCCTGCAAAGAACTTAGCAGGGTAGCAGGAACTATGGACAGTAAGCTGGCAATTATGAATGTAATGTGCAGTTTAGAGGAAAACAAGGGAAGAAAAGCAAAATGAGGCCCAGAAGCAGAGGTGTGGGAGCCACAGTCCTAGATCACGGTCAGGATAGGAGAGCTGTCGGTCTCCGTCAAAGACGGAGAATCACGGAGATTAGGAATTCCCCCATAGCGCTTGGCACATCTCTGGGGTACACAGCATGTGTCACACAGCCATTGTTTCTGTGGGTCTCCCGGCCCCACGTGGACCATGCTGTACTCTGCTTTGTATTCCCAAGGCTTTGCATGAGCCTAGCACACAATTGGTGCTTGATAGACATTTCCTAATCAATAATAATGAAAGTTCTATATAGAACTGAGTAGATCGAGATAGTGATAAATTTTTTCCATCCCACTCTATTTAAGTTAGATGGATCTTTTCTCAAAGAGGAGGAATTGGAAAGATCATCTTTTCCTTGTAGTCTGTTTTCTCAGGCAGAATGTAGATGTGTCTGTGGGTCCTCAGAGCTGGGCTGTTCACAGGCAGGGAGGCAGCCAGTCTCCCCCTGGACTGAAAGGCTGCAGCCCCTCCCTTGGGCTAAGCTATATTCGGTCAGCTGCTCTTGTCACTGTTGTAACAGGATTACTAGCCAGGCCTCTCTCAGAAAACAAGACTTTAGGGAAAGAGCCACAGAAAAGGAAAAGCTTGCAGGGTGTGACAAGGCCAGCCCAAAAAGGAGCCTGGGTGAGAGTGTGTCAGGGGTGCCTGGCCTCTGCAAGAGGGAGCAGAGGCCCCAGAGAGCCCATGCATTGGGCCAGGCCAATAGCATAAAAAAGGTTAAAAAACAAAATTACCCATTACACAGATTCTATTCCAGGAATAACTTGGCAAACGTAGGAATTATTCATACCTCATTTGTCCACTGGGCAAAACTCGTGGGATATTCAGAAGTTCCAGGCTTCAGTAGCTGGAGGATCTTGCTTTGAACTTTCCCCACTTTGATGTCAGATTCATTTCCCACATCCCTAAGGGTCCTATAGCGGCTGAGGATGACAGAATTACCATGGTCATTTCATTCTTCCCACTCTTTCCAGAAAGAAAAAAACTGTTGGATTTTGGTTTTTGATAAAAGTAGTAAAACTATGTCTCTAAAAATTCTGCATGATGGGAAGGCAGCCACCAATCTCTCTCTCTTCCACTCTATTCTATTCCATTTCATTCTATTCTATTCCATTCTATTCTAAGTCTAGTATATTCTTCAGAAGAGAAAACTGAAATCCAGATAGGTTAAGTCACAGCTCCAAGAATGCACAGCCAGGAATTGCCAGGCTGAGCGAAAAGCCTGGGTCTGATGATTCCCACACTGACTGCTGCTGGCACCATCCCACCATGATGGTTAATTTTGTGTTAGTGTGACTGGCAGGTGGGGTGCCAGGAGAGCAGATTAAATATTATTCTGGTTGTGTCTGTGAGAACGTTTCCATGTAAGATTAGCACATGAATTGGGGGACTCAGTAAAGCAGATGGCCCTCCCAACGTGAGTGGCCCTCATCCAACCCACTGGGCCTGGGGAGAACAAAGGGTGTAATCCTCCCCTTCCAGCCTGATTGTTTCAGCTGATTGTTAAAACAATTGAAACCTGATTGTTACATCCATCTTCTCGGGCCCTCTGCTCCCCTAGTTCTCAGGCCTTTGGATTTGGACTAAACCAAACTATCAGCTTTCCTGGGTCTCCACTGTGCCAATGGCTGATCCTGGAACTTCTCAGCTCCAGTTTTGCATGAGCCATTTCCTTATGATAAATAAACACAGGCACATATACAAGAGCATCACTGTCTCCACTCTGGAGGCCTGGGATATACACTCCAGTTTTAATTACCTCTCCCAACTCCAAAAGAAGGGGTGACCCAGCAAGCCGCTCAGATGGTCTTTCACTTTTTCCCCAGGGCAGAACAGGCGATGAATGAGGCTCCGAGTCTCCTCATCTGGAGAAAGCTGAATCACCTCTTCATTGCTTTTATCCTTCAGTGTCTCGAAAAGGATGTTTCCCTTCCTTACCACATACAGGACCAGCCGTCCAAGGGCCTGCACAGAAACCACAGATCAAGCCAGAGGTGTTTATGAATCACTGCACTCTTTGGGTTACTTTGGAGGGAGGTTCAGGTTCTGAGGAAATGGAAAATGGGAGGAATCTCGAAGCGTCCACGAGCTGTTAAGGAGAGAAGACACAAATTCATGCACAGACAACTCTTCAAGGTAGTATATTGGCCACACCGTTGAGTTTTACAAGAAGCGAAAGACAATCCTGGGCCAGAGTGGTCAGGGCAGACTGCTTAGAGCCAGAAGGATTTGAGCTAGACCTCACAGGATGGGAAGAATTTAGGTAAGCAGGGGAAAGGGAAAGATTTTAAATAAGGGGAATGCCAAGAATCCGGCTGGAAACTGAGCCTTTGGGTTGGGGCTCTGTGTGGCAGCAGGCCCAGATCCAGCAGCACACAGTGACGGCCGCAGGAGTTATAGGCCACGGAGGCAGGAAAGGCCCATAGGGAGGCCAGGATAGGAAGCTCTTGCACCAGGCAAGAAGCTAAAAATCTGGAGTCACAGAACCATAAAGGCCAGATGTGGAAGAAGAGCTCTTACCTATTGGGTTGAAAGTACAGCTCCTGGGGAGTTCCCTGGGGAACAGCTGCCCTTATAGTGTCGAATCAGCCCCCGAGCTTTGGTCTGCAGAGGCCAGCCTATGTCTCTGCTGTCTCCTCAGGAGAAACAGCCATTTCAGGGTCTTAACCTTTTTGGGCAAGTCTAGTCTCTTTTGGGCTGGGGGTCAACCCCATCCCTCCCATGCTTTTCAGATGGCCTTAGTATATGGCTTCCTAGTCGCTGAGCACACAACTTTGAATGGCATGGGAAAAGAAATCTCATTAGGTAGAAAAAGCCTCCTGCAGGAATTTTGGAGATATTCTGGACACCTGGAAGTAATTCTAGAAGAGGTAAGGCATGCTTAGTTTATTTACTATTTAGCTAGTGCAGGAAAAGAGATTCAGAGAGACCCGAAAGGAGCCACAGCAACAATCTATTCCACACCAACCCAGGGAAATGTCATTGTGTGCAAGGCAGTGAGGGCAGTGTGCCCTGGGGGGCATCTTTAAAGTTCTTTCCTTCCTAGATAGAGTAGGAATGTCCTCTAATTGGCCACAGGGAATAATAATGAATGAAATTACCTCCAGATCATTCTTGATTCCTTGTGGATCTCCGGCTGACTTGGTGCTTTTATCAAAATCTGCCAGGCAAACAGCATTCTTGGAATCTAAGGGATAGTTAGCAGAAGTGCATTGAAAATCCTTACCGTCCATGTTATGGGTCATTAATTTAAATAATTTTGTAATAACAACATGCAAAGCATCATCTCTGAAGTAGGCAATAATAAAGTTTCTATCTGCCTCTTTTCCAGGCCAGGGGGTAAGGAAAATGAGAATAAACTTAAGCAGTTCCCCATTCAAGCAATTTCCAAAGGCAAAGCACAGATTTTATAAAGAAACTGGTGGCAGGAGTGAAGGTTGCCTCCAATGGCTGCAGAACAAGTCCAAGATTGCATTAGCATAGTGACCCACCAGATCAAGCCCACCACCACATCCCATTAGGACACTGTAACCAGTTGTTACGATCAACTGTGTGCTTGTAATGAGTCCCTGCCTCCTTCACCTTCAGAGTTTTTCTCCCTTGAAGGAAGCCACTGAGTGCTCAGAAAGAGGGAGGCATGGATGACAAAAGTCAGGTCAAAGGAGGGCAAGTCAATGATTTGTCCTCGAAGGGGCGGCCTCTGCTTCTGGCTTGAAGAAGTCTGAGAAGGCAGGCTGGGTAACCTGAGAAGGGATGATGGCCAGTGCAATTGTGTGCTTCTTGAACCCCTTTTATTCTGAACTTAGACGCCAAAGTTGCATGGAAACCCAGAGTCTAACAAAAATGAACCCATCCAAGTATTCAGCCGGTGTTTCATGAGGGGGAAAATGATGGTGACAAAGGGGAACACAGTCCCAGCCTTAGAGTTTAGAGTCTCTGGGTGAAGAAATAGACACTAAACGAGTAATTACACTGAAAAACCAAAAATTAACTGCAATTTTGAAATACTACCAAAAGTGCAGGTGCTCTGAAAGGCCCTTACAAGAGGAGTGACATGGCTGTGTGCGGGAAGAAGCGCCCCTCAGGGAAGAGACACTTAGAAAAGATGAGCAGAATCAGGGCGGACGAGTGGAGTGGGGAAGAGAGAGAAGAGAATTCCAAATAGGAATTCCTGAGGCGGAATGGAACCCAAGAGCCCCACTCTGACGGAACGAAGGCCCGAGTGCCTGATGATGAGGTCAGGAAGCAGCCTGCGGCGGTGATGAAAAGGCAGGTGTGGTACAGTCAAAAACCAGGGATTGTTTCCAGTTATTTGAAGCCATAGATTCCCCTCACTGTTTGCATTTCCTGCTGCTTAAAATTTGAAAAAGCCTAATGGAACACTTCATATCTCTGTTAACACTCATTTTTTTCTTTACAGGCCCCAATTTTTACTTTTAGATTCATCAGGTATTGTTAAAGTGCTATAAAAGTTTTAAACACCTGCACTTAGTTTCTGTGCTTATTTGATCACAGACTGTTACCAAACAGTGGATAGGCAGATTGGCGGGAAATCCCATCCGGCTGCCCATAATTAAGATTGTATTAATAACAATTAAGTCCTCTTTTATTTCGCTCTGGTCTGGAAGGCTTAAACAAAGGAAATGTATTTCTCATGGTCCTGGATGTTGGAAATCTGAGATCAGGGTGCCAGCAGGGTTGGGTTCGTGCAGAGGGCCCTCTTCCTGGCTTACAGACCCCCCTCTTTTTGCTGTCTTCACATGGTGGGAAGACAGCTACCTACCTCTATGACCTCTTCTTTTTTTTCTGATCTGATATTTCATTTACTTTTTGGGAAAATAGTTTCCAAAATGTTTTAAATCAAAAGGACCCACAAGCCCAAAGATAAGGATCTGTATGTTGATTCAACCACTTTCTCCCTTGAGTCCTGGGACAATGGCGGCAAGAACAATGAAAGCCAGGGTGTGCAGACACAAGGAACACTGGCTGGGTCACAAGAGCTGCATCCCAGAATACAGGGTCTTCTTTCTCTCAGTCGCATGAAGTGAGCATGCTCAGGAAAGCTATGAAACTCCAGAAAACCTGTAGATGAGCTGCTGGCAGTGACCCTGAGTTCTGCAATTCTCAACTCATGAAAACACAATTGCTGGAATATCTGTGGATGTCTCTTTTTTTTTTTTTTTTGGCTCTGACATTTTTTTCTAATTAAAGTATCATTGCTATACAATCTTATGAAGGTTTCACATGAAAAACACTGTTGATTCAACATTCACCCATATTATCAAGCACCCCCCAACTGGTCTGCCGTTACAGCCACTGTCTATCAGCGTACTAAGATGCTATAGAGTCATTACTTGTCTATGACCTCTTCTTATGAGGGCACTAATCCAGCCAAAGCAATCTTGAGAAACAGCAAAGCTGGAGGCATCACACTTCCTGATTTCAAAATATATTACAAATCTAAAGGAATCAATAGTGAGGGATTGGCACAACACCAGACACACGGGCCAATGGAATAGCATTGAGAACCAGAAATAAATTCATGCAAATAAAAACACACAACTAGTATTTCACAAAGCAGCCAAGAATATTCAATGGGGAAAAGGTAGTATCTTCAAAAAAATGATGGTGGGAAGACTGGATAGTCACATGCAAAAATATGAAATTGGACTCCTATCTTACACCACTCACAAAAATTAATTCAAAATGGATTAGACTTAAATGTAAGACATGAAACCGTAAAACTCCTAGAAGAAGGCACAGGGGAAAACCTCCTTGACATACCTTGTTATAAAACCTCCTTGTTAAACCTTTTTGAATGTAATACCAGGAACATAAGCAACAAAAGCAAAAATAAACAAGTAGAACTATATCAAATGAAAAAGCTTCTGTATAGCAAAAGAAATGATCGACAAAGTGAAAAGGCAACTTATGGAATGGAAAAAAATATTTGCAAATCATATATCTAATAGGGGGTTAATAAGAAAATTCATACAACTCAATAGCAAAACAACAAATATTCCAATTAAACAATGGGTGAAGGACCTAAATAGACATTTTTCCAAAGAAGACATAAAAGTGGCCAACCAGTTACATGAAAAGGTGCTCAACATCACTTAATCATCAGGGAAATGCAAATAAAAACCACAAGGAGATATCATCTCACACCTATTAAAACAGTTATCATTGAAAGGACAAGAGATCAGTATTGTTGAGGATGTGGAGAAAAGGGACCCCTTGTGCACTGTTGGTGGGAATGTAAACTGGTGCAGCCCCCATGGAAAACAGTATGGAGGTTCCTCAAAAGTTAAAAATACAACAACCATATGAACAATCATATCAACCATATGATCCAGCAATTCCATTTCTGGCCATATATCTGAAGGAAATCAAATCACTGTCTTGAAGATGTATCTGTATTCCCTGGTTCACTGCAACATTATGTATAATAGCCAAGCATGGAAACAACCTAAGTGTCTGAGTGTCAGTACGTGCATACATATATATATATATGCATGTATGTGTTCTTCATTATGTGTATTATATATATTATGTATACACAATGGAGTATTATTCAGCCATAAAAAATAAGGAAATCCTGCCATTATGACGATGCAGATGAACACTGAAGGCATTATGCTAAGTTTAATAAGTCAGAAAGACAAATACTATTATGATCACACTTATATATGGAATCTAAAAAAACTAAACTCATACAAACAGAGGATAGATTGGTAGTTGCCCATAGCAGAGAGTGTGGGAAATGGCTGAAGGCGATCAAAGGATACAAACTTTCAATTACAAGATGACTAAATTCTGGGGATCTGATGTACAGGGTGGTGGCTATAGTTAACAATACTGTATCATGTACCTGAAAGTTGCTGAGAAAGTAGATCTTGAAAATTCTCCATACACACACATACAAAATGGTAACTATGAGGTGATGGATGTATTAATTAACTATACTGTGGTAACCATTTTGCAACATATATATGTATAAAATTATGACACTGTACACCTTAAACTTACAAAATAAAGCAGGATAAAAAATTGTGATTATGAAAAAAAATGCCCCAATCCTATTCATGAGGACTCCACCCTCATGACCAAATTATAACCCAAAGGCCCTGCTTCCAAATGCCATCACACTGGAATTAGAGCTTCAACATATGAATTTAGGGGAACACAAATATTTGGTCCACATCAGCTATTAAGTAGGTTCTATCTCTTTTCCTTTCTTTTTGCATCCAGGTTGCTGATGTCAAGCTGATTCTGGTTTCTCTGTAGGCAATTTGTTTTCTCTTGGTAGTTTTGAGTTTTTCTCTTTTTTCTGACTCAGTGGGTATTTTTTCCGTATCTTAAGCTCTTAGTCTTTTCAATAAGAGAACTATGCCTAACTAGCTCTGGACTTCCTCAGCTTGTTTGTTTGTTTGTTTGTTTTTGCTTCAACTTTGTTCTCCCTCTTCTCTCCCTCTGGAATGCCTGCCAACTAGAATATCTGGCTCTAATTCACGATTCTAAAATTTTTTAATGCCTTCCATCCCTTTATATTTTTCTATTATCTCAGAGGGGAATTTCAGGTAAATCTTCTGGCTCATTAATTTAAACTTCAATCCAGTCTTGAGTTTTTGAAACTTAAATAGTTATACCTTTAATTTCCAAATTCTCTGATTCCTTTCACAATGCTTATCCTTGCTTCTTGGATGAAATAACCTCTCTTTGTTCTCTGGTTTTACTAATTATACTTCCTTTATGTCCTAATTCCCAGAATCTGTGAATGTTACTTTATATAGTAAAAGATTAAATTAAAAAGGGATATGGTAGATGTTACTAAATTAAGAATATTGAGATGAAAGAGATTTTCCTTGGTTATCAAGGTGAGTCCTAAATGCAATCACATGTGTCCTGATACAAGGGAAGCAAAGGGGGATTCAACAAAAGAAGAGAAGGTAATATGAGTAGAGAGAGATTTGAGTAAGGGCAGCTAGCAGCTATCAGGAGCTGAAAGAGGCAAGAAACAGTCTCCCTTATAGCCTCCAGATGGAATCTAGCCCTGCTGAAATCTGGACTGATGTAATATTTCTAGTCTCCAGAACTGTGGCAGAAAAACCTTCTGTTGTTTTAAGCCACCAAGTTGTGTTAATTTGTTTCAGCAGCTATCAGAACCAAACACACTTAGTTAGCTGTGTTTCTTTGGATGTAAATTCTTCTGTTTCATCCATCTCTTTCATGGTTTTGACATTCCTTAAATATCTTAAGTGTTTTTTTACTGTAAGCACTGCACTGCAATGAAGAATCTCTGATGTCTTGTGAGTTGCTTCTGTTAATGCCACCCAACAGAGGGAAGGGATGGCAGCAGTTATCAGAGCTTCTGCCTTTCATATTATTCAGTGAAACTCAAGAGTAAGCAGGACATGCCACTTAATAGGGTGCTTTGGCAGAATTGTATGCGTTTAACTGCTTTTTGTTTCTCTTAAGATCACCTCAAGTAGTACCCATCTGCCAACATACAGGCTGGGTCATGGATGCTTGGTTCCTGGGGAAGGGGGATGCACAAGTTTGGCCTTCCTAGTTTACACCGCTACAGCAATCTGCCTGTTGGCTGGTCCTTTATCCTTTCCTGCTCCTGGCTTACATTATTTTGAGTGGTCCTTCTTTGCACTGTTCCCACTTGAGTAATATTTAGTTGTGGCTTCCTGCATTTTTCCTGGGCTCCTGTGTCCTTCCTCAGTCCCATCCTATCCATGTTCAGTCTCTCTATGAGTCTTGAAAGATTTTGTCTTGTAAAAATTATTTTTTTTATTTCAATCACAGCTATGAATTCATTGAAACATCTTTTCCTATCATTTTAGGGATTTAATACAGGGATAGTCGGCGGTATGTTTTAGGTTTACCACTTTGAAGCAGAAATATATTCTCTCTTGTTCAAGGTTAAGAATGGAAGAGGTGGTGCTAGAAATTCCAAAGAATAGGGAGTCACAAGTTATTTTTCTTTAGAACACGAGACATGACCCTTTGGCATCAAGATCAGCAGTTAGAACTGGGAAGGACCTCGCCTGTGGCCGAAACTCGAAGACTCTGCATCACTTGGTACAGCTGCACCTATGTCTGCACCTATTTGTCACTCTCCACAACAGAGTCACTTAAAACCAGGAAGGAGTACCCTACCACCTGTCCTCAAACCGAACTCCAGATCCCAGTTGTTTGCTTATATATATCTACTTCTCTCCAGGTCTCTCCCAGGACCTTAACTATTATTTCCTGCCTCTTCATACCTGAACCTTTTTCCTGTTCCCTTATACCTTGCTTAAATCTCAATGCGTATCTATCTGTACGTTAGGTATCTGCTTCTGCTTAGCCCTATAGACAAGTACCCGGCCTTTGCTGAGCATCCAAAGTGCACAGATGAGTTGTCTATTTAACACACTGCACTTACACCTAACAACCTTAGGAAGGAGGTATCCTCAGTCTCAGATGAGGAAACCAAGCCTCACAGAATCAAGTGCCTTGTTTGAGGTTCCAGAGCTACAAAGTTGGTGGCACTAGGCTGCAAGCCCCCCGAACATGGCTAAATCCGAAGCTCTTACTACTGTGCCATCTTGCCTCCTGGGACTTTACACTCAGCTCTACTTGTTTCCTTTCATGTTGCCTTCATTTACTTTGTTGTACCAGCAGATTCTGGCTTGTTCTGCCTGCTTGTAGTCTATTTTACTGCATCACATCTTGTCTCAGCATCTCTAATTTTGACCTCCATCTTGCCATGAAGTTTCACAGTATCTGTCACCTTGCCAGAAGCAACACACCTTCAGGAGTCTCTGACTTGCAGACTACTTAGGAATTCTAATTTCTGGAACCGGCTCCATCGGAAATATACCTTCATATATGTATTTGCCAAGAGCAAAACAATTGTAGACTGGCATTTTGTTGGCATCTGCAACCACCATATGGAGTTTATAACTGGTAGCAGGAGAGACTGCGCTATAATTATGAATTTGTCGCACTCTTCCTCAAACTGGGTAATCCTTTTATTCTAGTCCTTTATTCTAGTCTTTTCCTATCCATAGTGAAAAGACCCCCAACTCCAAAAAGACTGGAGACTCACCTATTAAAATGTTTTGTGGCTTCAGATCCCGGTGAGTGTATCCACACAATAGGTGTAATTCTTCAACAGCTCTAAATACAGATGAGAGGACATTCCGGGCAAACTCATCTTCGTTTTCCACAGCCTCCCCTCCATGCGTGGCCAAGTCCTCCTCCAGGGTCCTCTCACAGAGGGCGAGGCACACATACAGACACCCATTATGGCTCTCACACCCATAGAATGCCACCAAGTCACTGTTTGTTCGGCTGCTCTGCAGACAGGAGACTTCCTTATGTCCACGTGTGCTACCTTCATAGAATCGCTTCACAGCTACCTCTTGCTCTTCATAGAAGCCCAGGTAGATGCCTCCCTCAGAAGTGTCAGCAATCTTATATTCTTCATCAATAAAGATCTTGAGTTTGCCAATCATAGGGCGGTACATCACATGGAGATGTGTGAGAGCTGTCCCCCACCGTGAGCTCTGAGGCTTCCAGTCCTCAGCAGGAGGATGAAAATATTCTCTGGCTCCATGAAGGACAAGAAACTTTGCAAGGGAATGGTCGTAATTGCGCCTTGCTAACATAACAAGATCCCCACAATCCGCGCTGGCTCCATGCTTGCACAACAATTGGGCGATTTCCTTTAGTTTTAGTTGGACAGCAAACAGCAGTGCTGTGTTGCCCTCTCTGTCTGTATCATTGATGTCTATATCTTTTCGTTCCAGAAGCATCTGCACCAAATCCACGTTCTTCCTTTCCACTGCCAGGATCAGGGGTGTCTTCCCTTTTTCTCCCCTAGCAGTGACATCAGTCCCATGGTCCAGCAGAAGTTGAGTAATGACTTTCACATTCCTATCATCAGAGTTCTGAAGAGCATGGATCAAAGCATTCCTGCCCATATTGTCACAGACTGTGACATCTGCCCCCATCTCATTAAGGAGAATCTTTACAACCTCTAGATGGCTTTTTTTAGCGGCATCCATGAGGGCTGTGGCTCCACCTTTCCTAATCCTCTCTTGCTCCTCCTTTGTCTTCCGACGCAAATTCACCTTTGCTCCACTCTTGTACAGAAACCTTAAGGCTTCCACGTTACCATATACAGCAGCTTCCATGAAAGCTGTGAAGCCATGAGAATCACACTCATTCACATCTGCTCCTTTAGAAAGGAAAAGCTTGAGTAACTTCACATTTCCCACAATCCCAGCAAGGATGAAGGGAGTGGCCCCATTCCTCTTCCTCAGACAAGGGTCCGCACCATAATGAAGCAAAAGACTCGCAATGTCCTCCCTGGAATTTTGTACTGCATTATGCAGAGGTGCCCAGCCCCAATCGCTTTCCTGGAAATTGACATCAGCACCCCTTTCCAACAATTGCTGGATCAGCTTGATATCTTCTTTTCTAACAGCTTCAATCAGTAAATAATTGTCTTCCACTGAAGCTCTTCCATTGCAGCAGGGGGTAGATCTGTCCTGGAAGTCAGTATGTTTCTTGGTCTCCATGGTGATAAAATACCACTGGCTACAATGTTTTGCCTTTTCTTTGAGAAAATGAAAACTTACTTCTTTGGGCCACCATCACATGGAACTCATAGAAACTCCTGTTAGGGTAAATAGGGATTACCAGACCAACAGTACAAGGAAGGAAATACTCTTGGAGTCTTCTGACATTACCTGGAGATGAGAGAGAGACTTTGTAATTTTATAATAGTGAGAAAACATTTGAATCAGATTAATTTTACTAGCAACATTAAATGTAAGAAAATTATTACTCTATACACTGCCCAGAAATAGGTGGTGTTAATATTGTAGTTTACTTCTGTAGATTTTTTAAAAAGTTAGGATCATGCTGTATAAAAGTACCTTTGCACCCTGCTTCCTTTCACTGAATGCCATACTAGAAATAATTTCCTGTATTATTGCAGTCTTTTAAAACAATTTTAATATGCCATTAGTTATTCATTTCCCTATTACTGAGCAGTTTTTAAAAATAATTTTTAAACAAGATTTTTAAAATTAGAATTTTTAACAAGTCTAAATAATGGTGCATCAAATTTAGCTTATTTTAGCTTGTTTTCTTATGATAGATCTTCTAATTGATTTCTTATATAGATTTCAAAGAACTGAGCAGCTGGTCAAAGGATATGACTGTTTTTAGGGTTCTCAGCCCATAATAATAAATTTCTTCTGATGTCATATAAACACATTGTTACTAGAAATAGGTGGTGTCTTTAAAAAAACAACAACAGAAGCCTCATTTAATAGGAAAAAATATGTTTTTTGCCGATTTGCATTTTTTATAACACAGGAAGTTTGATCACTCTCAGCGGACTCTGGCCCCGGGTACGTGTGCTGCTCCTTAAAGGAGTATAGTGTAGACGCTGGCCTCAGCAAGACCTAGGTGTAAGCTGCTGTTACTTCCTAACTGTGTAGCCTTACGTTATTGAGTCTCAATTATCTGTTCCTTCAAATGGGGCAACAATAAATATAGTCACCGCCAATAAAATACAACCCGAAAGTATGGAAGATGTTAGGCATTCAACACATGGTGGAACTAATTATGTCCCACTAGGAAAAAAAAAAACAACATCCTACTGTCCCCACCCGTCTGCATATACACATTACACAAATAGGGAAGGGAGGGGGCAACTTGGCCCAACTGCTCTGATTAAGCTTTGAAAAATATAGATCCAATTCAAGCATCAGACAGCACCAAACGGTTACCCAAATATTTCTAAGACTGCATCTGGAACGCCTTCCACACAGCAACCGCTTTCCAGCAGTCTCGCCCTCTGGCGGTCTCAAAGCCTCCACCCTCACAGGTCTAATCAATTGTGCTACAGAAGCTCAACCACCAGGCCATGAAACCGTCATGCCAAATGTTTGTGTAGATAAGTCCCGTTGCAGAGGCTGTGAGATGAGCTGGTGTAAAGATGCAGAGCAGGAAAGAAAGTCAAAGAAACTCCCAGTTCCTTTAAATATTCAAGTCGAGAATAAAGACAGCCCAGCAAAAGCCCGGCCACGGCTAAGTCCCGCTTGCAGTTTCGTTTTCTCCGTGTGCCCCAATATGCCTGATTAGGAGACCCAACCCTGCAAACCCGCGGGCTCCGCGCTCCCCGGCCCTTCCAAGCCCCGCACCGCGGCGCCCTCCGGTCCCCCGACCGAAAGAACCCTTAAAAGAAAACAATTCCGCAAGCTTTTCCAGCTCTGCTCCTCTGCCCATCTTACCTTCTGAACTCAGACGCCTCCTCTCACTCCTTCGGCAGCAAACAGTCCTCACCGGCAGAAATCATTTCCTCCGCGGGACGTCAGCGGGCAGGGCGGGGCCGCGAGGAGGAGGGTTCGGCACCCGCCCGCCTTCCCTCCCTACCCCGGACAGCCTCCCCTCCGCACCCCGGACAGCCGGAGCTGAGCTTTTCCTCTAGGGGAGAAAAAACCGTGCCTCTCCCCCGGCAGCTGGTGGCTGATTAGAAATCCAGGACCCTGCTGCCGGCCTTTCAGCCTCTCGGGTCAGAGCATCTAGCTCCATCCTTACCACAGCTCCAGATCCCCTATCTTCTTGAGGGAAATGAATGGTAAATAACATTTACTGGGCACCGACTGTGTGCCTGGCACCATGCGCATTGCTTCACAAGTGACATGGTCCCAGTTAAGCCCTAAGAATCTCGCTGCTGATGAATGAGGCTCAGAGAAGCTAAATAAGCCCAGAGCCCCAGCTCCCTCACATCTCGGGGTGCTCAGCTCGCTGCCCTGAGGTGGTGTTGATGCCGGGGTTCTTGTTCACGAAGCCGACGAAAGAGCTTCACGAACACTCAAGGTAGGAGAGCAAGGTACAGGCTTTTATTTAGAGATAAAGTGAGAGAACAGAGCTCCCGGCTCACGCCAGGAGGGGACAGGAGAGTCCCTGGTGGTGCGTTGTCTAGTTGTCTAGGGGATTTATAGGCAGCTGAGAGACTTAAGAGCTAGGGTGTGGATCCACCAGATGGTCTCTAAGTGTTTATTTTTAAAGAGACACTAAGTTTCTTATCAGTTTTGCAGACTATTTTGTGGAGTTAAGATAAAAAATTTACTGCTTTGATCCTTTCTTAGAATAGCAGTTTCTTGGCTTGGGAGTATATCAGTCAAGGCTGCTTGTCTTGCTTTCAAGGTGAGCTGAGTTACTAACTTGATTAGGGCTGGAGGAGGAAAAGCAGCATAGGGCAAAGTTAAAGATAAACTGGGCCTTTTAGCAGGCTATAAAGTAAATTTTACAATGCCTCATTTAATTGACACAAACAAGACATGGGCTATGCTGAGGTATTTTCTTATCTGGGGGATGTTCAAACATTCCAGGGCAGGTTATTCCTGGCTTTTTAGTTTTAACTAATCTTTACTGAAGAATGCTTATATTCCTAGTTTAATATTTTACTTTAGAGAATTAATGTGACTCTGTCTCTGTTTAATTGTTTAATATGGAGTTTGGGTAGGGGTCTTTTTCCAGAGGCCCTCTCCCTACTCAGACTACACCCACGGTCCCTGTCTCAATGTGGCGCCCTCAGAAGGGCACAGGGCTGGCAGTCTGGAGACCTGGGCCTGCAGCTGGAGCAATGGCTGTTAGCAGACAGACCTCAGGCAGGTGGTTTAACCTTGTCAGGCCTCAGTTCTCTCACGTAACGTGGTTTGTAAGGTCCCTGCTCTAGAAGTTCTGTTCTTGCCATTTTCCCAGCACTCAGATGTATGTGTGTACCTAATGCTGCAGTGGGAAACATTCGTGTCCTCAAAGAACATGCAGTCTCTCTAGAGACATAAACCCCTGACCATCTTGAACCAGGAGAATCAAGCTGGGGGTAGCCCAAGAGACATGCAGAGTCTGACAACTCTCATGGCAGGAAGAGACATCAGTCTGTCCACAGAGACCGCAGCCACTAGGCGGGGTTCAGAGCTCCAGACTCTGAAAAGTCACAAAGAGCAGAGGTGAGCAAGCCCAGGGGCGGGTGGGGATCCTAGGTGGAGAACTTGCAAACAGAAACCAAGACCAAGGGCAAACAAAGATGCTCCCCCCATCCCTCTGGTTCCCCTTCCTATAGCCAAGAGGTTAGAACTGGGGCACAATCCCTCACCCTTTCCTTCTTTTGACCAGAAAGATCCCTAAGACTGCAAGGATTGCCTCTAAGTCTGGGAATGAACTGTGCTTAACTTACCAGAAGCCCTTCTTGGATCTTGGCAAGAAGACATGGGGTCATACTGAATCAAATACAATATTGATGTTCTCACTACTTCATCATGACTTTGCTAACCAAACCTAGACTTTCCCCCTTTCCTTTGACTGTAGTAATCATTTACCTTATTTATTCTGTGACCTGTTAACAAAATGAAAAGATGAGAAAATAGAGGTGAAGGTAAAATAGGAAGTTAAAATTTAAAAAAAAACCCAGGAATGTTCATGACACAAGCAATTATAAAGTAGATTCTGAAAGAGTAAACAAAGGTGTAGCAGGAAATACAGGCAAAGGCAAACACCAGGCACACATGTAAGGCCAAGCTAGCACTTGAGAGTGAATGGAGGCTATTGCTGTGTCATTCCTTGCACATGGCGGAAGTAGGAAATGGCAAGACCCTTGCAAGCCGATGTCAAGGCATTAAGTCTCCAGAATGTTTCAGAGCAATGATGCTGAAACCAGACCACCTAGCATCAAATCCAGATTCTTCCACTCTGCTAGAAAGATTACAAAAAAGTTTTTTCAACTCTCTCTATACCCATGCCCTTTGCAATTCAACTTTGTACTTCCTCTAATTAAGGAGGAGAATCTATTTCCCTCCTTTAATCTGGGCTGGCCTGGTGACTTGCTTTGCCCAATAGAAAGTGGCAGAAGAGGCAGTGTGCCAGTTCCAGAGCTAAGCATGTTTTTGTCTCTTGGAACACTGCCACAACCATACAAATGAGCCTGGGATAGCCTGCTGGTGAGAGAGGCACTTGGCCCAGTCACCACCATCACCCAAGTCAACAACCAGCTGATCCTCAGATATATGGCTAAAGCCATCCTAGACCAGCCAACTCTCACCAGCCCACCAGCTGATAACAGATGCAAGAACCTGCCACACTAAAATTAGCCAAGCAGGGCTCAGGTAAGCAGGAATACCTAGCTGGCCCACAGACTCATGAGTAATAATTGCTTATTATTTTAAGCCATGGGGTTTTGTTATGCAGCAATAGCTAACTGATATAGCCACTTGTTAGATCTCTGAATTAGAGCAATTCATTTAAACGTTCTGGGCCTCAGTTTCTACATCTGTAAAGTGGGGATATTAATAATAGTAGTAGTTACCTCAGAGGAATGTTGTGAGGATTGCAGAAATTAATATATGTGGAGCAGTTAGAACAGGGCCCATTGTATATAAGTAGCTACAATTTATTGGGTACTTACTATCTAGGGAGCACTATGATCTTTTAAATAAACTTTCCCATTCTGTTTTCACAAAAGTCCTATGAAGCCAGTACTGTTATTATTAACCGGTTACAGGGGAAACCCGGGCTCTGTGAACTGAGTAATGTGCTGAAGGTACTCAGCTAGTAGGTAGCAGATGTGAGGCTGAATTCAGTTGTCCTATTTATGAGCCTGTTACCTCAATCATTGAACCACATTGTCTTGAAACTACCCCTTGGAACTGGAAGATGGAACTCTCTCTTAAGTGGAGGCCCATTAGAAATAAAAGATTAATGCACACATTATTGCTTGTTTCAAAGAATTAAATCATTGTCTAGGTTAGTGACCAAAGCTCAGAAATCACCAACATTGTAAGTCAAGAGACACATTTTCTCAATGAGGGAGACACAAGCTCCATTATCTAGCACCTGACTGCAAGACATCCCTTACCCTTGGGGTCATTCCTCAGTTATTTACATTTCAAATCGTTCTTTCCTTCCCTAAAGCAATTTGAATAGCTGGACCAATTTAAAAGTTTCAGTGGTAGGAAATTACCTTGAGATCAGTGCTTAATACACTCTGATCCTTTTTCCTTTTACCTAAGAGCTTCAGTTTTTAAAGTTAATTTCAGTCCCATTCACTAAAGACTTTTTAACCCCTGTACCCGCCAGGCTGTCTTAGAAATTAAAATAATAATTCTAATTTCCATTAAAATTTTACATCCTTATTAAAATACATGAATAAACAAAACTACAAACTGTATCTCTTGGATAGAATTCCGAAGGAAGGAGCCCAACTAGAGAGGATGAAAGACAAGCCATGCCCGGGGAAAAGCATGCATTGCCTGCTCTGGTCACAGGGGGGCAGCAGAGGGTGAGGAATGGTGGGGGGCGTTCCACAGGCACCGGAAGCACAGCCACTGATTTGGAAACAAGACTCGCTGACCTGGATTTGAGCAAGTACTGTCTCAACTAATCGCTCAACCCTCAATTTCTTCATCCAAAAACCTGGGATTCCCTGCAAATTAGATGAAACACAATGTGGAAACAGCTCTTTGAGACTTAAAGAACAGTAGAATCCTGACTTTGAATCTTGGTTCTTCCATTCCATTAAAAAAAGTCAATACATAGTTACTGACTGATGCCCACTGTGTACAAGACACTGTGTTCAGTACTAGGAATCAGATAATAATAACAGGTAATATTCATGGTGCAAATATATTGTGCCACACACTTTCATTTCATTCAGTGTTCCCTATGAGACGTGTACTCATTATTCTCATTTTACAGACAAGAGAAGACTTGCAGAGGCTTAATAGCGTCCCAAGGTCATGCAGCAAATGAGCCAGGATTCCAGCCCCAGTATTCTGACCCCACAGGCAGAGCTGTGAACTCCTCGGCTGTGATCTGTTCTGCCCCATCTTGTCAAGGTAAATAATTTGGCTCCTGACCTTGAAGAGATCAGATTAGTGGAGGAAAAAGTGCTGTGGAGACATCGGTTACAGTGCCATGCTGAACGTGTGGCAGTCAAGGTAAGAAGAGTGGGTCCTACAGTCATGGAAGTGGGAGCAACTGACCCTGCAGTATAGTCTGGGAAGGCTTCACTGAGGAGGTGATATTTTTGCTGGATTTTGAGGACGGCAGTCCATTCTTCACCAGACAAAGCCCCCCATTCAAAAAAAAGAAGAAGAAAAGGCAGAGAACAGAATGTGGGTATAAAGGCTACCTGGGAAGAGGTAAGTCAGGAGAGGGACTTGGGTCAGCTCACAATAAGCCTCCATGCTAAAGTAAGATCTGGGCTTTCCACTGTAGTCAAAGGCGAGGCGCTGAAGGGTTTTAATTCAGTCACAATGTGCTTAGATCCACACTTTATGGATGAAGCTGGTGCAACATGGGAGATGAGCTGGAGGGGAGAGGCCTGGGGAAGGAGACCAGGTAGAAGGCAGTGTTTATAGCCTAAATTGCAGAGGATGAAGGCTCCTCTAAGGCAGTCTCAGCAAACCTGAGGTGAAGCTGGATTCAGCGTGTTTCTGGGACTGGACTTGGTGGGAATGAGGCGTGGTGGGGAAGGGATGGAGAAGCCTGAGGGCCAGGGAGCTAGCGCCTCCGTGTAACTGCGTTAGGAAACAGAGACAGTGGCTGTCAGAGGGGGACGATGATGACCTTGATTTTGAACGTGTTACATATGAAGAACCTGTGGGACATCCAGGGAGAGAAGTCTGAAGAGAAGTTGGACACTGTAATGCAAACTTTTCTCCTGTTGGACTTAAAATTGATCATTAACTCAAGAGCCATTTGCTGATGCCCATATGCTAGGCCCTGGGGGTTGGGACTAAGAGAAGAGGACAGGCCTGACCCAGAGCTCTCTGTCTGCTGAGGGGCAGAGAGGAGGGACCTGAGCACCCAGAGTGGGGAGCATCCACAGCTGTGGTGCATGAAGGGCAGGCATCCGTAATCAGACCCCCCACCTGGCGGGGGTGGGGGGCTGTCTAGGAAGACCCTTGTGCTGCTTTTGCAGGGTGCCTCTCTAGCCTGGTCAAGGCAGTCCTGGCAGCAACGATGAGAGCGAAAGACGAGGCAGGACGCTGGTCAGTATGCAAAGCAAGGGACCTTGGAGGGGTAGGGCGACTCTGGGAACTGTGGGAGATTTGTTTTCAAGGGGCAAGTGAGGGAGCAGTGAGAAAACAGGCCTGAGAGGCCATCGGTGGCCTACTTCGAAAGGGCTCTGCCAGCTAAGCCAAAGCCTGCAGTGTTCTGGGGGGGATGGGGGGGGGCAGAGTCAGTGAGTCTGAGATGTGGGAGACGGCTGGCTAGCTGTGGGGTCTTCAGGAAGTCACTTAAACTCTTCTGAGAACCAGCAGAGTATGGGACTGTTTTGAGCCTGACCCTGGGAGATGTATAGGCCCACAAAGAGTTGTTCTTCTCCAGTGTGTACCTACCCCCTTCAGGCCACACCACTGACTCCGAGGCTGCCCTGTGGAGAGGCCGGGCTTGGGGGAGGGGATCAGCCTTGCTGGGCTGCGGAGCCCTGCAGCCCCCACCCATCATGGATGTCCCTCATCCCCGGTCATTTCTCTCCCACTCACTGATTGCACGCACCCGTACTGGCACCCATATTGCTTCAGAGAATGTTCATTTGTGCCCTTGTCTAAACATACTTAGAATTCCCAGCCACCATTAAATGATGCTACTTAGTAAACAGTACAATGACTGCCTTTGGGTTCTGCCAGGCACACAGGCTACACTCAATAAATGTGCGTAAAAAGGCAAAGAGATGGAAGGAAAGTAATGGAACCATGTTAATTCCTCCCCGCCTCCCTGGGGGCCAGTCCTTCTCTCATCAGTCGTGTCCCTCTGCCCACCCCACACACTGGACCCTCCCAGGCTGTAACTGGGTTCTCTCTCATCTGGGCCGCTCCTCGAGCCAAGCTGCCCTGGACACGTTCCACCCCCTACCATCTTCAGTCTCCTGCTGGGTATTGTAGTACTTGGACCTACCTCACGGAGCTGTTGTAAGGAGCAAATGAGATCAGGGCCTGCCAGTGTTTGTCCCCACCTTCCTTCCCAAGCCTTAAACTCAGAATACCCGCCTGGAGCCACCTGCAGAATCACTCCTGAGGTCTGGGCTTTGGGTGATGGGGCTTTCCACCTGAGGTACCTAAACTCTGGCCACTTTACTCAGACAAACAAGGGAGAGACAGAAGCCAGTGTAAGGTCCAGATCTGCAAAGAGACAGATTATTCACCATAGAGAATTGTTGTAAATAGTGGGAAAATGAGGATTAAAAGGATAAAAAAGAATAAGTTGGCCATTAGCAGAAGAGCAGACTTTCTCCTTGCAAACCTATCCACAGATTCTTTCATGCCCAGCTCAACTGCCTAAGTCCCCCAGCCCATGGAACGGACCAGCCTCAGGTTGGACTTAAAATTGATCATTAACTCAAGAGCCATTGGCTTCCCGCAGCTTGGAGGCTTCTGCGGCATGACAAAAGAACACTTATTCTTTGAATATATATGAAATTGTAACAGAATATTAATGCAAAATGAAAACGGGCACCAGTAGACGTGCAAAATGAAAATGGGCACCAGTGAAAACGCCCCAGACGTTGCCACCTGATAGCATGTGGCTGCTTGACAAAAGGGAGCTGCCCCTTGCCTTTAGAGGCACAGTTGTGAATGGGTAGTGCTAGGCTGGGTGGACAACAGATCAAGGCTCTGAAATGCCAGCCGAGCTGAGCCAATCAACACAGCACAGCGGCCCAACACAAGCTGGGACTGCCATCTGCTAAAAGAAGTTACCCAGTGTGTAGGCCACCATTAATACCCAGTCCCTTCTCTTCAGGCCTGCTGGTTACCAGGCAGACATGAGTCTCTGACTTGTGCCTCTGCCTGTGATGCAAAAGCTCCCCGACCTGTCCTGTCGAGTTCCCCTAGGCTGGCTCCTCCAACAGCTCTCCCAGCATCCCCTTTCCCTCATCCCCTGACCACACGGCCCTAGGAGACAGGAACTCATATTTAGGTTTTATTTTTATTTTACAAGACTGTAACATGCTGAAACAAGAAAATGGGGATCGAGGACATCATTCATATCTAGGAAACCAGCTCCAGTTGTCAACAATAAATAAATATTTTAACAGTGAGGAGTTCCAGACAGGTGCTAAGAGGCTCCCAGCACATTCAGAGGTAGAGTCTGGTGGGGCGGGAGACAGTCAGGTGCCAGCTCCTGTTGAGATTCTCTAGTAGAGGCAAACTGAATTACAATAATAAATAACAATAGCTACAATGCAACAACAGTAATAAAAATAATCTGCTATGACAATCATCACAATACCAACAATACATTATAGTTAAATAATGGGCCCACATCTGGGAGGAGCTCATAGTGCAGAGAGAACAGTGGTGATTTTCCTGGGGCACAAGGGGGCTGCCTGGTCAATTCACGGTCCCAGCCTGGGCATGTGCAGAAGTCCCACCAGTTTGTCAGTGTTGCCCTGAAGTGACAAGCAGGTTCCAATTTTCCCTGGTCCTGCCCTTTGAAGCAGCCTCTCTCCCCAGCTTGCCTCCCAGCCTCTATGGTCTGTGCTAGGAGGCCCCTGGACCATTCCTCTAATATTACGGTAAGCGCACCTCACAGTCACAGGAAAGAAACACAAGGCCCGCCTCCCATCCTGGCCATCTTTTTCCCTGTTACACCCACAGAAAATACTGTTTTTAAAGGGAATTTTGGGAACTGCCAAGAGATTTGTTTCTTAGGATCCTTTTCTCCCTCATTCCACACTGCTGAGCTTGAGAACTGGGCTAGCTGCTGACCGAGAGGCCCCCACCTTTCTCCTCATGGGCCCTATGACCAAGGGCGGCACAGCCCAGCAAGAGGTCTGGGGGGAGCCCTGCTCACAGGTGGAGCCCGCTGCAAACACAGGGTCAGGGGCCACTGCCAGAGGTCCCAGAAGCACCAAGATCGGTTTCACATGAGCAAGATGGCCTCTTTTTCAGGCCTCTCTACTGACTTGGAAAAGGGCTGAAAGGCCAGTTTTGAGGTATAAAATTTTCATCTGGGGCATCACCTTGGTTCCCTGGCCTTGACAAAACCGTGAGGCTGGACATGGGGATGTTAAACGAGCTAAAGGACACTGGGGCAGCCCCGAGGCAGGTGAGGAAGGCAGGATGGAAGGGGCCACATCCTCAGCTCCCTCCTGTGCCCAGGACACCCTGGGAATCAGGAAAACAGGATGCACTGAGCCAATGACTCAGCTGCAGAGCAGCTCCCCCAGCAGCCTCCCCCCTCTCATATTCAAGTTTCCCTTTGTCCACATTAACCAAACCACCCTGCAGTCCTGCTCGGCCTGCGGAGAATGACAAGAGCCAGCCATCACTCTCTCCCCACCACTCCTCCCCGGAGAGCCCTGCCCAGCGCCATCTTCAGCCCTCAAGCCCGGGTCCTGGGAGTGGGGAGGCGCTCCTGCGCATGGAATCCAGTCCCACAGTATCTGGAGGAGAGGGTGTTGCTTCCTAAACAGGCGGCCAGATCAGCTTTTTTCTTCACTGTCCTATCATGCTTGCTTGGCAGAACCTGCCTCCCACACAGGGGCAGCCGCCTCAGGGTGGGTGACTCAACCTCTCTTCCCGCCGGCTTCCTCACTGCCACGAAGCTGAGGTGTGCACAGGCTCTGCTGGGCTGCAGCTGCTGGGAGGAGAGGCCGAGGTGGCTGAGGCTCGGGCAGCCAGGTCCCGGTAAGCAGGGGACCTCAGGAAGCGGGGGTAGGAGTCCTTCTCCATCAGAGTGCGAGCCTTCCCCTGGGCCGCACTGAAGCACGTGGCCGTGGCAGCCTGTACGTTCACCCTGGTCAGCTCCCTGGTCTCGTGGTCTATGTTCACCTGTGGGAAGGAGGGCAGGCACGAGGGTGAGTGGGGCTGAGGCAGGGGGCCCAGCAGCCCCAGGGAGGGCTGACAGGCAGGTGGGGTGGTGGCAGGAGGCTGGGTCTGAACAAGGAACCTGGGGTCTCCTGAGCCGACTCTAACTGGCTTTTCCGCTCTGGGCCTGTCCCCACATCAGATCCAGTGTCTGCCCTCCAACCTCTCAGAATTATCAAGGCTATATAAGAATGTATACAAATACAAACCCTTTATACCCCTTCCTCTGTAAACAACCCTAGTTTGAGTCACCGTCGCCTGTCGTAGAACAGCGCCAGAGCCTGCTACCTGGTCTCTGTCCTGGCCCCCACAGTCTGTTCACCAGCCACTAGAGCCAGCCGTGTAAAACCCCAGTGTTCTGCCGCCGTCTTCCCAAGTCACTCAGAGGCCAGGGGAGGTGCACGCTGGGCCCACATCTGGCCATCTGCCACCTGTCTGACCCCCTCTCTCTCTCCCTGCTCCACACAGACCCCCTTGCTGGTTGGTGACCAGGACAGGCACTCTCTGGCTTTTGCACTTGGCATTTCCCATGTGAATGTGATTCCCTCCCTTAATTCTTTCATGCCTCTGTTCATGTCACCTTATTGGACAGTCTACCCCTCACCTTCCTTTATAAAATGGAAAGAGCTCCCTTTCTCTCTCCCACCCCCCAACTCTGGAACTGCCTCTTACCTCCTGCTTTCTTTTCAGCAGAGCATGTATCATTTGTTTAATCAGTTATTGTCATCTCTTCCCATCAGGATAGAGACTTTTTATTCCCTGATATGTCCCCAGTGACTATAACAGTGCCTTGCATGTAACTGCTGCTCAATCAATCTTGGTGGAATAATGTGGAACGAATCAAAGTGCTCAGAAAATAAAACACAGATGCAAAAGCAAGGCATTACTACCCTCTGTCCACAAGGGGGCGCCATGTTCTTTAGCAAAATCTGACCCCAGGCCTTCAGGCCTGAGAGGTTGAAAAGTTCACAGAACACAGACCAGCCAGCCAGAGAACTGAGCCAGGTTACACAAGGTCCCTATCATGACCTGCCTCCCCAGTGGTGTGTTTTGCGCCTCTAAAAAGGGCTTCATTTACAAAGCCCACAGCCCCTGCCAGCCCCATCAGGGAGTATGAGAGTGACAGCCTTGGGCTGGCACAGAGTCCGGCTTGCCTAGTGTCCACCCACAGAAGCCCAGTCACCCCATGCCAAATGAGGTCACTCTACTTGTGAACTCAGTCCTTTCCCTGCCGGACCCCCACCATCCCCAGTTCTCAGTGAGGAAGGGGAAGGCCAGGTATGGAGGCTCCACAGAACATGTCATGACCCTGACCTCTTTCGGGGCTTCACTGCGGATGAACTCTTCAAAGATCCTGTGAGCCTGGGAGGCCAGCTTGGTAGCTGACCGGAGCTTCTTGAACTCCTCACAGGCCAGCCAGAACTCCAGGTTCTCCTCGCTGAACTCCGTCTTCAGGAAAGTGTGGAAGGCAGCCACTCCATCTGAGGTTGGGGGACAGAGGAAGAGGCGGGTCAGACTGTGGGACAGTGGGGAATAAAAGAACCACAAACAGCAACTGTAGTTAATAGCTCTATTTTTAGGATGTAATTTTCTTGAACAAGGACCTGCCTTTGTATTCTGGAGAGAGGCTGGCACACTAGGAGATCATTATTATTATTACTACTACTATTATTTTGCCCAGACTTTCAGCAGCCCTCATGCTGACTGCAAAGCACATGAGTGCACACGTGCCATCCAGACAGACACAACAGGGAACAGGGTCCTACTCACTTTTACTGCTCAGCAGCAGGTCAAAGGACTCTCTCCACCCCAGCACATCTTCTGAGAAGTTTCTGCTAAATAACAACAAAAGAAAGAAAGAAACTCAACAAACTAAGGCATAACACAAGTCCTAGCCAGAACTCAGAACTCTGATGGAGGTTGCATAATTTACACAAACACAGCAAGAAGACTCACTAAGATCGCCAGGAAGGGGCCACCAAAGTCTACCCTAGCATGTCCTAATTTCTCCTTATACTTTCCTTTTCATGACTTCTTTCCTAAATCTGACTCCTTCCCTCTAGGGTCCCTAGGCTGGCCAGCAGGACTTACCTATCTTTGCTTTGTTTGCTGTTCCACTCGAACTTGCCAACACTGCCAGTGTCGGAGCCCAGCTCTGATTTGTGAAGGAAGATTCCCAGCCGTGTCTTGAACTCTTTGGCTCTGAAAGACAAAGCGCCAGGGTATGAGGATTCTCCATTTGCCCAGCCAGGGAAGAGAGCTTTATAGGGTCCCAGGAAAGCTCAGGCTGGTGCCACTGCAATTCCAGCCTCAAGGGTCCCTGGGAACCCTGGGCTATTCCCAGGGTCTAAACGTTGCTTCTCTCATTCATTTCATGAACCCAGAACAATGAAGGCAGTGCTTGCGCTGTGCCTGGGTAGGTGTTACACCTTCTGGGTTTACAGCCCAGCGTATATGGGCTTTTTCCCACGCCAGTCACACTGATCTCTATCTTAGTGCCAGTTCATTAGCATTTCAGGCAGTTCAGCTCCCTCTGGACTTGTCAGGAATATTTCGGGAACTGTGTGGAAACTGATTTCCTGCCTTCATCCTCACCTTTTCCTCCCCAGCCACCAACCAGCTCCATTCCAGACTGGGAGCGGCTGAGTAGCTCTCTGGAAGGTGGGCACATCCTTCAAGGGGGACCAAAATACACCCCACTGCCTTCCCAGGGCCGGAGGAGGCCGTGCCCCTAGATCGGGACTGTAGAATGAAAACTAAGTGCTTAAGAAACTGGGGGAGCAGTTCTGCCTGGTGATGCCAGCGGGGTCTTTCTGCAGCCAGGTCTTCAGCAGGTCAGCCGAGAAGACCTGCCATTTGTCGGAGCAGAGGGAATGAGAGGAAGCAGCGGTCCCTCTACTTCTCTCTGCTTTTCCTTCTCCTGCTCTTGGCCCATCGCTTCTCTAAGACTCTTGAGGGCAGCATCTGAGAACGTGGAACCAGGCTCCCTCTGCCTCTCCACTCGGGTCACTGTGTCCCCATGCCCCAAGAGTATAAGGGACCTGGACTTCTTTCCCCGAACTCACAAGCTCCGCGGGACAAGCTCCTCTTACCTCTCCAGACAAGTGGTGGGGAAGGTGGCCAGGGTCCGGCACATGGCTGCAGGTGCAGGGCAACACGTTGCGGGGAGGATGATGGCGGGCTTCGGCGGACACCGCGAGCGCGAGAAAGCAGAGGTCTGCAGCGACTGTGCCTTATACACGCGGGTTTAGTTTGTGCGACTACACGCGTATAACGGCCGCCACCGCGGTTTTTATTCTCTCGGAGGAGCGGGGCGGGGCCGCGCGCCGCCGACCAATGGGAGAGCGGGGCTGAGCCCGCGACGGTGGGGGCGGGACACGGGAGCCCCGCGGGGCGGGGATGCGACTGCAGGGCCCCTAGGGCCCCTACCCGCCCGCCGCTGGTCTCACGGGGCCCGTGGGGCGGCCCCCTCCCCCGGGCGGACGCCGGCGCTGGGAGGGAGAGGTGGCGGCGAGGCCTCACCGCGAGGAGACGCGCACACCCATTTAGTAGGAAAAACCCGTCGCCTCTAGTAAAAGCAGGAAACCAACTCAGCGGCGGCAGGATTGGCGTGGGGGGTGTTGGGTCGGAAGGCACCCAGGGCGCTGATCACAGTCTGAGCCTGAGCTGTTGGGTCCTTAAGGACAGGAGTACAGGGTGCAAGCCGGGCGCGGTAGCAGCACGATCACACTGGGAGCTACCACCTACCGTGCTCCTACGGGATGGCCGCTGGCTAAGTCAGTAAGCCCTTCACCGTTATCTCGTCGTCACTTACATTTTATAGAGAAGGGAACTGAGTCAGAAGTTAAAGAGACTTGTCCAAGATCGCAGATTGGAAATAGCAGACCAATAGCCCTGAGGGGGTGAAGGAACGACTTAATTAAGCATCTGCTTACGTGCCAGACACTTTTACTAAGACTCAGTTAAATAATTTCCTCAAAGTCACACAGTAAGTGGTGCGCCACAATTCAAATAAGAATTTACTATGCTTTTTCCACCCCCACCCCCTCAGAATGCCATCACCTCCTTAACTGCTGAGTTGATCCTGGGTTTAAGCATGTGCTTGCTTAGTGTCCTCATCTCTAGGGAAGGATAAAAATCACCCTGCCTTTCTCCTCGCCTTCCCAGAAAGGCATCACCAGCACCCCCACCCCCAGTTGCCCTCAGTTCCCTCCCTATTCCCAATGAACACAGGAGGGGACCACTGTTATGGGGCTGCTTGTGAAGTTAGAGTGTGGGGTCTAGAGCGGGATTCCTGGGCTTCAATTCACGGCTCCACCATTTACTGAGGGCAGACTTTGGGCAAGTTCCTTGACCTTTCCAGGCCTTGGCTTCCTCCTAAGGTGAAAACGTGATACACAATTTCACAGTGTTATTGTGAGAACTAAATCTCCATCAGTTAGTTCCTAGTCCTCTGGAAACAGTTCTGAGGCGCACTTGCTGGGGAGATTTCTCAGAAAGGGGAGGGAGGGAGGGAAGCAGGCTTGGGCAGAAGGAGGAGTCGAATGCCAGGCAGTTGCAACAGAGATGGAAGCTGGGAGGGCAACGTGCTCTGGAGGGCCCTTCAGAGTTGTCTCCCCACTAAAGCGAGGGGGCAGGTCTCTGTACCCCATATCGGTCATTCATTAAATGCAGTTGCCCCAAAAAGATGGCCTAATCTTAAACAAGGTAACTACCTCTGTCAAGGTAATTCCCAGGGACAGACTGTGCTGCGAGCCTGCAGCAGACAGCACTGGAGGACGGGGGTCTCAGTCCCACACAGGGGATCTGAGTGGCGCGCCACAGCACCTGCAAATCATGTAAGGTGCTTAGAACGGTACTCAACATGTGGTCAACACTCAAATGTTAGATCTTGGGTTTATATAATAGCAATACATGGATTGCTAGACAGTAGGAAAAAGTAGGGAGTTTTTGTGTCTCTTGGAAGTTAGGTTCTTATTTCATGAGGAGCATCAGAGTTGATGTTCCTCAGCAAGGCCTAGATGGGTCAGAAAAGAAGAGACAAGAAAAGGTTCCCCACCTGAGATTGCTGAGTGAGAAGGCCCAGAAAAGCTGGTCAGGGACAGAAAGGGAAAAACCACAGAAGGGGAAGAAGCTGAGGTGCTGCTAGAGGAAAAGAGGCCCAGATCAGAGCAATGTGTGGGATCATTCATCAAGGCAGATCTCCTTGTTAAGCCAGGGCCTGCAGAGGATGACACAGTTAGTCAAAACATAAGGCGCTCTGAAGAGCTGGTCGGCCCCTGCCTCTGCGGCCCAGCTTGTTAGTGGAGCTCGGGGGCAGCACCATCTCAGATGCCAGCATCCCACCCTCACCCTGTCTCTGGTTCTTCCGCTCTTGGAAGCCCAGGGCTGGACTGGTGTGGGGCAGAGAGATGGGCAAGGGTTGGGAGGGGCCATGGTGTGCAGCCAGGCATGGAAAGATGCCTTTGGAGATGTCTGGGTTTCTCAGCCCAGTCCTTCCCCCCCATGGTGATGCAGTCCTCCAGCCCCTCCCGGGAAGCTCTGCTAGAGTTTGGCAGCTGAGGAAAGGGTTGTTGTTTCACCTGCTCCTGCCCCAGTGCGCTTTTATTATGCAGTTGCCAGCTGGGGATGTGGGTGGGGTCTGGGACAGCTTTTTTTCATCATCAGTGAATGAGAGTTGACGGGAAGATTGAACCCCGCCTGTCTTGCCCTCAGGAGCACCATGTCTGCCAGGATGCGGCCACATGACAACAATAATAGTGCTTATGCAGAGAACCTCTTCAAACCGTCCTGTCCTTTCTGCATCCCTTGGAATAGGCCAGAGGAGCTTTTCCATTTCCATTTTGCAAACAATAAAACAGCCAGTGCCTCGGGCACCTGTAGGGAAGTGCACCAGAACTGGAAACAGCTGAAACCTGGGCCTGACACCCCGATTCCTCAGCGAGTGCTTTCTCCCATTTGACAAAGAAAAAGAGACAAAGGGGTGGATGGCGTGGCGCACAGACAGGCAAAGCCAATCCTAGAGCACAAAGCGCCTGCTCAAGATGAAGAGCCCTCCCCCAGTTCATGCTGCCTCCCGGTTGCCATGGTTACTGCTTCCATTTCCAGGCAGAAACTTTTTGAAGTTTATCCCAAATTCTCTTCCCAGCAGGTCCATATCTGCAATTTCAGTAATGACTCAACAGTTGCTGTAAATCCAGCCAGTTGAGCTCACCTGTGAATTGAATGGACTGACAAAACCTGACCTCATTTTGGCCCAGTGCTCCCTCCCAGCTGCACTGTCTTTAATGGAGAGTGTGGGGACACAGCTCTGTGGCCTGGGTCATCGGGGTAAAGCTGAGGTCAGGGTTACATATCCCACCACTGCCCGGCCATACCACGTTCCATCTCCTTCAGCCGTGCACCCTCCATTGCCGCCTTTCCATCACAGCCAAGGTCTAGATGGGACTTCTATCTGTGCAAACGATTAGGAGAAATGAAAATGCTCTCTTGACTTTTCTGTTTTGGCACTGATAATCCCCACCATGGTCGGGATGTTCCGAATACAACCATCAATCTACCAATAAATATTTATTAAGGATGTATTATATTCCCAAGCCGATGAGGAAGTAACAGTTCTTAAGACTCTTCCCAGACTTTAATGACCTTGTATTTCCTCCTAGCAGAGGAAACAGAACTAACACAGGGGAGAGAGAGAGAGGGAGAGGTGAAAGGAAATGATGGCCCCGTGTTTCAGCAGATGCAGGAAAGCAAGAGATCAGAGGGTTGCCAGTGTTAAAAAAAAGGAGGGAGTTCATAACATCTTCCTATGGCGACAGATAGTAAGTGCACTAGTGGGGTGAGGATTTAATAACGTGGGCAACTGTCGAACCACTGTGTTGTATACTTGAAACCAATATAAGATGGTATTTCAACTATCCTTCAATTAAAAAAGAAAAAGACAAGATTGGAGCCCGATGGAATAATGGCCAGAACCCTCGGGTGTGCAGGAGGGAGCAGGCCTCCTGGGGAGAAACAGCTAGGGAAGCCTGTGGTGGTTTAGGGACGCAGAAAGATTTAGGAATTCCTTATATGAGGCTCTCAGGCTTGTGGGATGCACAACTGAATGTCACTCTTTGGCTTAAAAGCATGAAAACAGCAGGGGCAGCACATATCTTGAGGCAGCTGGATGGGGAGAGCGCAATCACCAGCTGCAGGGGTGAAACAGTCTCTGGGAGCCACTGTCCTGCTGGGACATGACCGGAATTGGGGGCACCCTCCTCTCCTGGCAGGGCAAGCAGACCAAGTTCAGTCTAGGTGCAGGAAACAACTGTTTTTCCTGAGTCATCCTTCAGCCTGGGTACAGCCCGCTTCGGTGGCCGCTCTGTTCTTCTCTGCGTCCTCTCCTCTTCCCGCCCTCCTGTCTGGGAGTTCTGAGGGGATGAGAGTCTGGGAGGCCTGCTTCTCTCCACCCAGCCAGGCCAGTGGACCTCGCCTCCAGGGCAGGGTGGTCTCAGCTGCCTGGGGAGGAGGCTGAAACCCTTCAGCGGTACCACGGCTGGGGGGAGCAGGCTAGACCCCATGTATGTCACACAAGGCTCTGACGCCCTGGGCCTTCACCTCACACCCTAAAGCCCGGCCAAATGCAGCAGTTTGCAGATTACCAAGGATGCTATGCTGCCCTGCATCCCCAAACACCAGGTTCTCTTGGCCTGAGGATCCCTCCTCCTCCCTATACTACTCATCTTAAAAGATATTTTTCAATAAACTACTTTTATTTGCTATGGAGAAAACTTACATGTAATAAAGTGTACAGGTCTCAAGTGCCACTCAGTGAGTTCTGACCAATGTGTACACCGATGTGACCGATACCCAGTCAAGCTACAGAACACTTCCCTCACCCCAGAAACCCCTTCATCTCCTTCCCGCCATTCCCCAACCTGCCTCCCATCAGAGGCAACCACTAATCTTGAGTCCTGGAACCTCAGGCCTAGGATTGACTCTTCTGGAATTTTCTGCTCATTGTTGAGGCCCAGCTCACATGCTTTCTCATGTGTATGCCGTGTTCCTCCCTCGGCTGACCCAGACTCACAGAACCGATGTGCAGTCTGACCCTCTGTGAGTGCCTGAGGGTAGGGATCGCTGCCTCAGTCACCTTTCAACTTCAGCCCCTAGCGCCATGCCTGTGTGTACCTGCTCTATCAGTGTTGGCTGGCTGGCTGCTCTTTCAATGCAAATCCTTCAACGCAAATCCTAAAAGGGAACGTGTATTGAACGTACG